GAGAATAAGAGTTAGGTAGTCCGATGCTGAAGATGCCGAGACAGGGTTGTCTCCCAATGGCTACCATTTCAAGATGGCTGTTATTTTCCAGGAGGAGTGGAGGTCATTAACAATGATTGGTATTGTAGCAGGTTGGAGGAGGATCCAAGTCTAGATTGTATTGTAACTCCCCGCGCCAGATCCTTAAGGTGTGCCTCCTGGTCAGTGGAATTGCCTACAAAAATTACGTGCATCTCTAACCAGTTAGTTTCCTGCCCTGTCTTTTAGATATGGTTTTTATCATTCACACAGGCTGAGGCAATTATACAACTCGTGGTCACCAGCCAGGGATATGGCTCATTGGTGCCTAGTATGGTGTCTGGACTCTCCAAAGGTTTTAACATGTCAAAGTTAGTAACAATGGCTACTATGGAAAGTTCAAATAGTTCTTATCCAGCAAAGAATTCAATATGCTCTTTGAAAAGTAAAATATTCTGACCAGAAATTCTTCAAGTATGCCAAGACCAGTTTCACTGGTCAGGAAGCAGTGAAGTGGCACTGTATGCACAGCATTCAGTCACCCCTCAGCCTACAAACATGCCAACTTGACAAATATAATCAGTGGCTGAACAATAGAGCTTCTGGGCTTGTGTTGCATATCACACTATAATTGACAATTATTTTCTCAGCTGGCAAATCAAATTAACCATTTTATTAAAGAAGAGAACTGGAAAAACAAATTCCATCACATGGAAATATGGATTACCACCAAAATTAAAATACTGGAACTTTGGATCCCCAGAACATGGCAATGCTGCCTAGGCTACAAAAGTAAGTATTTCTCTTATTTTCTATATTTACCATCCTGATGGAATGGAAGTTGACAGACTCTGTGCTGGGATAGCTGACTAGTTGTTAAAGAACAGTACAAAGTCAAGGAGATCAGGAATCCTGGGTCCTTTCCCTGAGGTTAGGATGAAAGATAATTTAGTGGTTAAAGGTGGACTGGGAATGCTACTTTTCTTGGTGGTGCAGCAGAAAAGACAACTTGATTCAGCTGAAATTCAGGGCATTCTGCAAAATCTAGTACACTGACTTTCAATCAGGGTGATGCAAGATCTTTTCAAGCATGCCATTCAATATTAGGAGTTAGGCATGTAAATACCTACACATGATTCATAACCCAGAAGTTTCAAATAGGAATGGAATTTCCTTCTATGACCAGGTGACCTATCACCTGGACAAGGGAGAAGAGATTGATGTCATATATCTTGACTTCAAAAAAGCCTTCGATCTGGTGTCCCATGATCGCCTCTTGGAGAAACTGGCCAATTGTTGCCTTGGGTCCTCCACAATCCACTGGCTGGAAAATTGGCTCCGGGGTCGGACCCAGAGGGTAGTAATTGATGGAAGTCACTCATCGTGGTGTCCTGTGACCAGTGGGGTCCCCCAAGGCTCTGTCCTTGGACCCATACTGTTCAACATCTTCATTAATGATGTGGACACTGGAGTCAGAAGCGGACTGGCCAAGTTCGCCGATGACACCAAACTTTGGGGCAAAGCATCCACACCAGAAGACAGGCGGGTGATCCAGGCTGACCTGGACAGGCTCAGCAAGTGGGCGGACGAGAATCTGATGGTGTTCAACGCCGATAAATGCAAGGTTCTCCACCTTGGGAAGAAAAACCCGCAGCATCCTTATAGGCTCGGCAGTGCTATGTTGGCTAGCACTATGGAAGAAAGAAACTTGGGGGTCATCATTGACCACAAGATGAACATGAGCCTGCAATGCGATGTGGTGGCTAGTAAAGCGACCAAAACGCTGGCTTGCATCCATAGATGCTTCTCAAGCAAATCCCGGGACGTCATTCTCCCCTTGTATTCGGCCTTAGTGAGGCCACAGCTGGAGTACTGTGTCCAGTTTTGGGCTCCACAATTCAAAAAGGATGTGGAGAAGCTTGAGAGAGTCCAGAGAAGAGCCACGCGCATGATCAGAGGTCAGGGAAGCAGACCCTACGATGACAGGCTGAGAGCCCTGGGGCTCTTTAGCCTGAAAAAGCGCAGGCTCAGGGGTGATCTGATGGCCACCTACAAGTTTATCAGGGGTGACCATCAGTATCTGGGGGAACGTTTGTTCACCAGAGCGCCCCAAGGAATGACGAGGTCAAACGGTCACAAACTACTTCAAGATCGTTTCAGGCTGGACATAAGGAAGAATTTCTTTACTGTCCGAGCCCCCAAGGTCTGGAACAGCCTGCCACCGGAGGTGGTTCAAGCGCCTTCATTGAACACCTTCAAGATGAAACTGGATGCTTATCTTGGTGGGATCCTATGACCCCAGCTGACTTCCTGCCCTTTGGACAGGGGGCTGGACTCGATGATCTTCCGAGGTCCCTTCCAGCCCTAATGTCTATGAATCTATGAATCTGTGAATCCATAGCATCAAAAGCATTCTAATTTGTTATGGCTTCTGAGTTCTTTGCAACAGAAGTACTACTCAATTATTTTTCCATACTCAAAAAACGAGTGAAAGCTAAGAGCTAGCACCAAGGGGTACTTTGAGTTTATCTAGGGGTGCCTTGACCTTAAAAAGGTTGAGAACCACTAATCTAGTGCAACAGAGAGCTGTACACTTGGGTTTTGTTCTTTAAGACTAAGCAGGTATTGAACTTATTATTTTAATGGATTTTAGATACCTAAAACCAATGGAGTTTCCATTCATCCTAGGCTGAAAGGTCAGAGGCAAGAACAATTAATTACTGGATTTATAACTTCTGCACAACATTGAACATATTCTGGAGAAAAAATTCTACCATGGGTTACAACACTTAAGAGGCTCCCAAGAATTTAGGCAAGGTCAACAACTCAAAACTAGCAACTAAGGATTCAGAATAAGGGATAAGATGGTTCTCCTAACAAGGTGTATTTTGAAGCCAATGACAACTTCTGTCAGTTATCTCCAACAACTGATTCAATAGTGTATTACAGTGAACTAGCAGAGAAGACCGATTGATTTCAAAATATATTAAGGGAATGTTATGAATTACGAGATTCATCCCTGAATTTTGGAGTGTGTAAAATACACATCAGGAAAAGACTAGTGGTACTGTATAGGAAACTCTTTTTGGTCTGCTTGTAGTTGGCTGTATATTTGCTTAGCAAATATGATCTTTTTAATATAGGGCCTGTCTTCACAACAAAATAATGTTAATCTGAGTTCACTAATTAAAGGAAAAAGCTTAAAAAGGAGAATAGTTTGTAACTGTCACATTAATTTACTGGTCAATTCAAAGACTAGGCTCCTGTGTAGGCTGTAACTTGAACTGCTAAATTATATAAAACTACAAATGATCCTGTCTTTGCCAAGATATTTCGCCTAGCTGGCAAGCTTGGGTAAAAACACCATTTTTTATGTTGAAGACACAATGCTGTATAGTGCAGACAGCACTACATTCTTATTAAAGGGAGTCATTCTGTAAAAGCCAGTCAAAGGTCTGTCCACAGACAAGGAAGCTGTCCTCCCAGTTGGAAAAAGCAAAAAACTATTTAAAAATAATTTGAGTTGACAAAAAGACAGCTTGATATCTGTGCTTAGCAGGAACAAACTAGAGCCACCTGAGCAATGAAACTGTTAGCTTTCCTGAGACTTTGCATACACCGCAAACTGAGCTGGAGCTCGAGAGAGCATAGCTGCAAGTGTTGACTGAAATTTAACACCGTTTCAGCAACTCTGGTTATAGCTGAAGTGCATTTGGCACTGGGTCAAAGGCAACTGTGCTGGCCGGCAACAATTCTTCAGCATAAACAAGAACTTAATTCTCTTGTATTAGAGGATTGCACTCTTGGAATCATAAATTAGCCCACAGTTTTCTCAAGGCTGTTGCTTTAGTGACTAAACATCTGTGCAGGCTTACATCCTTATCATTCCTATTACCTGGGGCATTTTCTGAAGCCACAGCATACAGCTTGTGCCTTCAGGCTTTGACTGCTGTAAAAATCTAGAGTTGGTCAAAGATTAAGTGAGCAAAACTAGCATGGCTTTAAGATCTATTTCCGTGAAGATCTACTGGCAAAAGAAAATTCTGCAGTACAGTGCGCAATGCAAGATGAGTCCCATTTGACTCTAAAAATAGCTTTTAAAATCTTTAATCACAGCAAATGGCTGTATTCCTGCTACTTATTGAATACAAGGTTTTAAACAATGCAACTTAATGCTCACACCCACTTAAAAACTAGGCTGCACACCTGTGGGTAACAGCTATGTAACATTTATAACATACTCCATTACACAAACATTGACTGAGAATGCTTTTAACTCAAGCATCTACAATCCTAAATCTTTTGCCTCAAATTCTAATAAAAGGAAAGGCCTTCAACTACACCAGGCATCTCATACATGCACTTATAGATGAAATGCCAAAGAGGGCAGCTATGCAGCTATGTTTGAAAATGTGAGCCGGTGCATCCTTTCAAGCATTCATGTGACTGGTAGTGTGGGAAGTGATAAGTCTTCTGGAGCTAAGAGATTAGGCATGTTGCTTTGTATAGTTAGTTATATCAATGCTGGGTTCTTTGAAGTAAATCCCGGTAAAACTGCTTCTGCACCAATCCATGCTGATTATCAGGGATGCCAGGTTCCCTCTAGCACTCTAGCAGAACGCATTCAAGCAAGTAGTCATGGTATGGCCAAGACACCTTGCTCGCCAGATGTACTAAAAATGACTGGATAGTTTTATGACCATTAATATCACAATGGAAGCTAAAACAGGGGTAATCAAATCTTACAATGATCATGGTAGGGGTCAGAAAGGATTCTTTCCACCCCACATAGCTTGGTGTGACTAGCTTGGGGTTCAACACTTCCTTAACATTTCTCTGAAGAATTAGGCAGTGACTCCTGCTGGAAACAGGAAACCTGTTTCCAGAACCCATGGTTTGATTTGGTTTGAGAAATCCAATTATGCTATATGAGTTAAACGTAACTCTAAAAAGCCAGCTTTGGGAAGAGATGCTGTGCTCACCTTCCAAAGGGTGACGGTCATTCTTTGGTAACTTGGGGGAGAGAGGAGCACTGTATGGAGGGGAATCTTGGGAGTATCGCTTTGTACCCCGGCCTGGTCCCTGCAGAGTGCCGTCTAACGAACTGCTTCTGTCTAGGAAGAGAGAACAAGCCCTACTTAGGAACGGAAACTTTCTGGGAAATTCAATCCTACCTGAGTCATCAGTAACCCACAACTAACCCCCACGCACCAGCCTGGTATACTTAAAGCTATCTGCATCTTTCATTTCTTAGCATTTACTTTTTCACTTCACAATTTTCACTAGAGATAAGGGATAGAACCAACCTAAGAATTTTTTAGGTCATTCTATGGTCATGCTTTATCCCAGCATCACCTTTGATTAAACATAGCCTAATTATGACCTCTTTACCTCAAACAATTCCTGTTTCTGCAGTCTATATATTTTTCATATAACTGAAGAATTTCAATAATTAGCAAATTCTCAGTCCCTTACTCATCATTCAGGCAAATTATTTTTAGAGTTTTTATTTCCTTCAGCTTCCCAAACATCACTGCTGATCTCCAAATTCCTCTGCTAGGCCTGCACCTTTTGAATGCTGAGGTACCCAGCACTGCATGTAGAAGCCACGCATCACTACTGCCATATTCAAACCATCCTGAAAGATCTCTTCACAGATGGCTTCAAACTAGACCTGCTTTTTCAACACACTCTAGATGGTAAATTTATGTACACCTTACTGCCCACAATAATCATCTCCCGATTTCTTGCAAAGATGATGCTTTCCAGTATTTCCTAAGTACAAAATCATAGAGATACTAACAAACCAAAGAACTGGGTTAGAGACCCCAGGATAAAACTGAACAAATATAAATGTAAGGTACTATACACAGGAAAGAAAAATACAGAATGGGAGAAACTTGCCCCAGCACTAGCACAAGAAGGAAATGGGATCATAAATTCAATGCGAGTCGGCAGATGCTGTCACATAAATGGTAAATCCAGTGCTGGGTTACAGTAATAGAGTCATTGTAAACAGGAGCCAGGACAGACTGCTAGGGAGTCTCACCTGATATCTCCTCCTAATTAGACACTGTAAGCTTGATATGAGAAGTGATAGCATCACAGGATGATAGGAAAATAGGGCTGAAAGGGACCTAGTTAGGTCATCAAGTCCAGCAGAGAGATTGGTAGACCAAAACCAACACAGGATCATTACTAAGCCATCTCAGTCAAGTGTCTAACCTACTCTTAAACATGTCCAGGGATGGATATTCCACGCCTTCTCTAGGTGGCCTGTTCCAATGCTTGACCACTTTCATAATCCAACCTAAATTTCCCCTGCTGAATCTTGAGGCAGTTACCCCTAGTCCTATCCCCTATGACAACAAAAAAAAGTCTACCTCCCACTTCTCTATAATCACCCTTCAGACATTTGAAGACTGTTAAGTTCTTCAAACTAAGTAACCCTAGTTCTTCCAGCTTTTCCTCATGTCATTTTCCCAGGCCTCTAGTAATTTTTGTTGCTCTCTGTTGGACTCTTTCTAATATGCCCACATCTTTCTCAAAATGTGTGGCCCAAATCTGGACATAGTACCTCAGTACTCACCAGTGCCAGACAAACAGAGTGAAAGAATTGCTTCTCCTGATTTGCAAGTGACATTCTTATTAATAAAACCCAGTATGCTGTTGGCTTTTTTTGCAACAATCATGCTACACTGTTGGTTCATATTCAGTTTATGGTCTACTGACTACTACAGGCCCTTCTCTGCAATACTGCAGCCTAGCCAATCATTCCCCAGCCTGTATTTGTGCATGCAATTATTTCATCCTGAGTGCAGGATTCTGCACTTATCTTTATTGCATCTCAACTGATTGTTTACAAAATATTTCTCAAATTTGTCCAGGTCTTTCTGGATCCTAGTCCTACCCTCCAGAGCATCTACAACTCCAACCGACTTGTTGTCATCCACAAATTTACTAAGCACACACTCAATTCCATCATTCAAATCATTAGTAAGGATTTTAAACAATGCTGGACCCCAGACAGGCCCCTGCGAATCGCAACTTCATACCCCCTTTCAATGAGACATTAAGCTATTGAGCATGATAATCCAACCAGTTTGGTATGCACTTGACAGTTCTTTTATTTAGTCTGTATTTTCTTATCTTATTACTGAGAATGTTGTGGGAGATGGAGGAAAAATCTTTGTTAAAATCAAGGTATAATCATATTCACTACTCTCCCCGCATTCACGGAACCTGTCACCTTGTCACAGAAGGAAGTCAGTCTGGTCAGGCATGACTTGCTCTGGGTGAATCCATACTGGTTGTTCCTGATCATCTTGTTCTCCTCCAGATGCTTCAAAACAGATCGCTTGATCTGGTCTAGGATCTTTTCAGGTATCAAGATCAGACCGACTGGTCTGTAATTTCCTGGATTCTCCTTCATTCCTTTCTTAAAGATGGGTACTATATTTACCCTTATCTAGTCACCCAGGGCTTCACTTGGTCTCCATCAGCTCTCAAATGTGATAGCCAATTACCCCAGCTAACTCCTTTAGTATCCGGTCCAGCCCCATGACCTTGAACGCATCTAGCCTTTGTAAGTAATACCTAACTCCCACTACTCTAGGCTGTTTTTCTCCTTCCCTATCTTTGCTGCCAACTGCATATGGCAGCTGAATTTACTTGTAAAGACTGAAGTAAAGGCAGAGTTAAGTACTTCAGCTTTCTCTGCATCATCCATAACTAGATTGCCTTTTGCATGCAATAAGAACCAATACTTCCTTTGGTTTTCCTCTTATTTCGGACCTACTTATAGCATCCCTTTTATGTCCCTTGCCAGTTCCACCTCAAATAGATCTTGCCTTTCCTGATTTTCTCCCTGCATACCCATGTGGTATTCTTATATTATTCCCTAGTAATATAACCAAGTTTCCACCTTTTGTAAGATTTCTTTTTGAGTTAAAGAGATTGGCAATATAACTGTTTACTCAGACTAGTCTCCTGTTGCATTTCCCATTATTTTATCACAGGCTAGTTTCGTAGAAAAATCACAGAATCATAGAATTATAGAAAAACAGGGATGGAAAGGACCTCAAGAGGTCATCTAGCTCAAAGCAGGACCATCCCCAACTAGATCATCCCAGCCAAGTCTTTGTTTAGCTGGGTCTTAAAAACCCTCAAGGATGGAGATTCTGCAACCTCTCTGGGTAACCTGTTCCAGTGCTTTACCACCCTCCTCATGAAAGAGTTTTTCCTAATATCTAATTTAGACGTCCCTTGCTGCAACTTGAGACTATTGTTCCTTGTTCTGCAATCTGCCACCACTGAGAACAGTCTAGCTCCATCCTATTTTGAACCAACCTTCAGGTAGTTGAAGACTGATAATAAACCCCGCCCCCCCTCAGTCTTCTCTTCTCCAGACTAAATAAGCCCAAGACTAAATTCTGTCCCAAGTGCACTTTTCCTTATCAAACCTCATGAGATTTTTTTTGGTCCAACCCATCCTCCAATTGATCTAGGTCTCTCTGAATCCTAGCCCTACCCTCCAGACCATCTACTACTCTCCACAGCTTGGTGTCATCTGCAAACTTGCTGAAGGTGTACTCTATCCCATTTTCCAGGTTATTGATAAAGATATTGAACAAAACTGGCCCCAGAACTGACCCCTGGAACACTTGGCACCAGCTGCCAGCTAGATATCAAGCCACTGATAATCACCCTTGGAGCCTGATGATCCAGCCAGTTTTCTATCCATCTTATAGTCCATTCATGCAACCTGTACTTCCTTAGCTCACCTGTGATAATTTTGTGAGAGAATGCATTGGAAGCATTGCTAAAGTCAAGGTATAAAGTCAAGTTTGCTGCTGTGTCCTTAATATGGCCAACTTCAAGTACTGTCTTCTTCAAATACTGCCTCATTAAAATACAATGAGCTCTCCAGTACTCCTTTTTCCCTAAGACTTGCTACCAAAGGGTTACTGCCCACCTTTTCCCTGAGTCTGTTAAAGTCTTCTTCTGAAGTCCAGTGTCTTTATTTTGCTGCTTCCCCTTGCTCCTTCCCATATGAAATTAAACTCTATCATTTTGTGATCACCATCACGCAAGTTGCCTTCCATCTTCACACCCTGGCTTGCATCTACTGATGTATCTCAAACAAGACCCAAGATGTCAATCTCTTTCTTTATTCATCCTTGGTGAGGCCGCAGCTGGAGTACTGCATCCAATTCTGAGCTCCACACTTTAAAAAGGACATGGAGAAGCTCAAGAGAGTCCAGAGGAGAGCCACGCACGTGATCAGAGGCCAAGAGAGCATGCCACATGAGGAGAGGCTGAGAGGCACAGGACTCTTTTAACTTGGCTAAGCGTAAGCTCAGGGGGGACTTGGTGGCAACCTGTAAGTAGATCAGGGTGTTCATCAGGACCTGGGAGAACATCTGTTCACCAGGGCTCCCCCAGGGAAAAAACAGTCTAATGGTCATAAACTGCTGGAAGATCATTTTAGACTGGACATAAGGAAGAACTTCTTTACCATCCAAGTCTTCAGAGTCTGGAATAGACTCCCCCCAGAAGTGGTGCAAGCACCTACTCTGGACACATTCAAGATGCACTTGGACGATTATCTTGCTGGGGTCCTCTGGGGTCTATGAAATCTATAAAATCTATTCTAAAGTCAATTTCTCTCTGTTTCTGAGTAGCAAGTAAAGAAGCCTTGGGCACCATATTTTAAAAAGAATGTAAACATCTTGGCTGTCCAGACGCAGTACAGGGGAAAGCAAGCTGTACAGGGGAAGACTGAAAGAAGTAGTATGTAGAAAAGGAGATTAAGGGGAGGATATCAGCTTTCAAATATCATAAAAGCTGCTGTAAAGAAGTTGAAGGAACACTGCAGTAAAGGCAATTTAAATTAAGTCTCAGAAAAAAAATTCCAACTGTACGAACAATCAGAAAATAGACCAACCAGCCTAGAAAAGTTGTAAAATCTTCTTCACTGGATGAAAGACTTATATGAAAAGACTAGATAGTTATCTAACTTGGATGATTATAGAATAGCAATCCTACATCTGTGCAGGAAGTTGAATTACATTAGTCTTGCAGTCCCTTCCAACCCTGTGACTCTCTGACCAGGATACCAATGTGTCCCAGTGTGATGTTTCTGTCTTCTCTGGTGTTCAATTTAATATGTTAATTTCAGTTACATGCCATCTACTTAGACATTTAATAAAGACCACCAGATCCCACACCAATGGCTACGCTCCCCTTTAGATGTTGGAACAGGATACATTCCGAGGGTGGCCATGACACCCCCTGATGGCTGCCTTAATCCTGCCTTGCTCACAATTCAGCCCCTCAGGGTCTCACCCTGCTGCCTCATCTGCCATGCCTCGATGTTAAAAATAAGGAGGGGAGCTTTGGCTCCTCTCTCTCTATATACTCGGTTCTTCTCTTGGCCTCATTGTAACCCGTCTAGTTTGGGTTCTGGCCTTGCCACCCACAGTCTCTCAGTCTTGGAGCTTTAACCCTGCTGGTCCTAATCACCTCGAAGGCTAAATTTGTGGCCTCTGTCCTCCCCTACAGCCATGTCCATGCCTCACAGATGTTATTTTATCCAGTTTGGTCTTCCTGTACAGGTCTCGGCTCTCTTGGCTTTAGCTCCCCTTTATGCTGGCTGTAGGCTTCCAGTCCTGGACCACTTGCTTGGGCTTGGCTTTCTCTGCCTCAGCCCTTGCCTTTGCTTCACTCTCCAGGCCCCAGGCCCTGTCTCACATGGCCCTAGCCCCCTGGCAACCCTGGCCCAGCCAAGGCCACTCACAGTGCAGTCTGACAATCAGTCAGATTTTAGAAAGTGAACTTGGTTTCACTTTTGTTGAGCAAACTAGTCAGCCACTTTGGAGAGTTTGGGCACAGAGACAAGATGGCCAATCAACAACAAGCTTTTTCAGATATACAAAGGGTGAGCCAGAGTCTTATTTCCTTTCTTCACTGAAGGGAATCTGCAGACACAAAGTCAATCTGTGCCACTCACCCTGTAGTAGCTCTCATTTGGCAGTTACCCCTCCTGAGTTGTTACTATTTAGTCCTTGGTGTAATATGATTTGTTCTCTTGAGGGTTCACCACTTCAGCCTAAGGGATACTTTACCACCTTGTAACTGTTGCACGCAGTGATATAAACCAGCTTGCCTTGAGTGCCTCACTTAAGCACAATGGGACAAGCCATGCAAAAAGAAACATGATTTACTTGCGAGTAGTACTCCTGAAGCAGAGTTCCAGGCCCTAGATGCAGGCTGAGCTTCCAAAGCAGGCACCAGAGGTTAGGTGTGCTTTCTACAGGAACAAGAGTTATAGCCATGCTGGACATTTAGTTACACCTTCAGTCTACATACTGCATGTTACAACTTTTCTCTAGGCAAAGTGTCTAATCCCTAATTGGATATATTTCCTAGATCAGATTACATGTTTTATACTAGCAACAAGGGAGAGGAAGGGAGGGAATAAGGTACATAGAAAAAGGAAGACAGACAGAGAGACACTAAGAATGAATGAACCTGACAGTCCGAAAACACAGAAACTTTAATCCTAAGTGAGGACATCCCATATAGCATGTGAGTGGTGTCAGCTGATATGCAACAAACCCCACAGACAGGGCTCTGCAATTTGCACCACTGTTGTCTCTGAGCTGAAGAGTAAAACTTGGGTTAGGACACAGTGAATTAAAAGGACCCCTGAATGCCTCCCCAGCCCCAACTCCTACCTGGTAAATACCTGTCGTGGTCGTACTCGTGGGAGTGCTGCATGTGGTTATTCTGAGTGAAAGGCTGGTTTCCAAAGAGGTTGTCGCTCCGCAGGTTGTGGCAAAGTTTCTCAAGGAAGCGGAGGACGTAGGTGATGCTATTTACTGCTGGCAGGTTCAGAGTGTGCTGTTCCCGATCAAACACGGCTGGAGACAAACAAACACAGCTAAGCTTGTAAGCCCCCCCCTTCCTCTGCCATACACACGCGCGCACACACACACATGCACACATACAGAAAGGCAGGAGGCCACACCTGGGGTTGCACAGCCAGTTCTGTATCTTGGCATCATTGGGTTAGACTAAAGCAAACAAAAGCCACTGCTTTCTCCTGGCAAATACTATGGAGTTCTCTTCCCTTGGACAGGCCAGAACCAGTTTGCTGCACCCAGCACTGAGTGTGAATTGGCTGTACATGGAAAGCTTAAAGGTGAACTGCAAGAAAAGCAAAGTACAATCTGTGCCCCTTGTACCTGGAATAAACATGGTCTTGAAATACGAAAGGAGAAAAGAAAGGGGGGGGGAGCAATGGGGGTGAACAGCTTCAGGAATTTTCTTCTGTTTTTTTTTGTATTTGAAATACTAAAATTCCTACTGCTCTAACCCTCACCATTTCCTCCTGCTTCTGGAGGACTGACAATCTTTGGAAGGTCAGAAGCAAAACGATGTAGCTGCAGGGTGGAACATGAACTGCAGCTCTCCTATTCTAAGACAAGACAGAACACTGCTTTCCCCTCTAGCTGAGGCGGGAGGGCTGCCAAGAAGAAAACTCTGAGCTAAGTCACCCACTAAGTGTTGTCATTTCAGCTATCCAAACACTACACAAGAAAGAATAAACGGAAGTCTTTGGTTTAACTGGAACACTCTGTGCACTCTCTAACCCTTGCCTCTACATTCAAGAGCAGAGTAGTGGTTTTGCAAGAGAAAAGGTGTAAAGGTGGGGGTGAAGGCAAGCATTGCTGGTAGCATGGAGGTGAGGAGAAAGAGGCAAAATAATGCTAAGCTAGTAAAAAGCCCACATCAGATATGGTAGAGAAGGGGAGTCAGTGAAAGGAGCTGATCAGTCAGAGATTTGTATGGTTCCTGGACTTGAAACATGGTGAAGCTGCACTTGTAAAGGGAAGAGAGAAGAATTTACACTTAGCAGCATATTGTGTTAGACCTGTAGAAATCTCCCTGTTCTGCCTCACCAGGACTCATGTTGACATTTTCAAGCACAGAAAGAGGTAGCTAGCTATGTTAGTCTGAAGTGAGGCAAAAGGCAGGATTGATTTGTACTTTATATGCTAACTAAATCAGAGATGCATATCATAAGGTTTTGTGAGTCCAAGCTCACTTCATCAGCATCTGGAGCAGAACACAGCTAACAGGCTTGAATGCCAGGAATCAGTCTGGAGCTAAATATTTCTTCTGTCCACTTACAGACGGAGGAAGCAGATGGCATCACACAAAAGGAGCTACAACATAAAGAAGGCTAAAGGGTGACCTTGCAAGAACCAAGAACTGGATTATATTCTCAGGTCTGCCTCTAATTAGTTGTGCAGCTTTCGATAAACTGCTGTATATCTGTGTTTCAGTTTCCTCATCTGTAAAATGGGGAAACAAAACTAACATTTACTGCACAGGGACACTAGGTGACCAAACAGTACTGTCTGAAAAGGACACGTGGTGGCTGGTGGGTAGGTCTGTGGAAGTACATGCACAAACATGCTACGTACTCTACCTTTGGCTGAAGGAAGGATTCTCACCTATTTAGACATTATACGGTATCACTGATCAGGGCTGAAAACCCTCATCTCTTACACAGAGGTCCCTCCAATTCAGACCATGATGAAGCTGTGCTTCAAAAGGAAAGGGTTCCCACTGAGAGAGTTTTCCTAATAAGGATAGCTCTGAAAGCAAGGAAGGGGAGAAAAGTCTTGGTTCTTACCTGAAATTACTTCTCCCCCATGGCCTTGCTTCAGAAAAGAGAAGACAGTTTTCTGATGATAAGCGCAGTCAATGCAGGCCTGTACTGCCTGCTGCAGAACAACAGAAGCCCGAGCTGGTCCAAAATGGTCAGGCAGCTGTTGAACTTTCTTCTTGTCCAGGTGAGGCCCCGTGCTGCCATTCTTGTTCAAGTAAATGCAAACTACAAAAGCAATAAAAATGCTGGCCATTAACTGGTGAGAGATGCCGCTTAGAAGAGCAAAAAACATCCTCAAAAGCAGATATGCTATTTTTTCAATCCTCAGCATCCTACCAGACCTAGATCTTCATACTATTAAAGTTCTCACTGAGGGGGTGAACCAAATTAATCCAACAGGCTGCAGATTAACACCTATAACAGCATCAGTTATAGCTAAAGGAAGCTCACCCTTCAAATACACAATGCTGATTCCGGTCTCTCTTGCAATGAACTTCCAAGCCACGCTAGTGTTTCATTCATAACCTTGGTGCACAGGTTCCAACAATGCAGGGTGTAGCAGGGGTTTGCACAGTGATATGCTGGTAATTGGGTGAGTGGCTGAGCCTAAGGGAGTTTCATACATATCTCCCACTGAATCTCTAAGGGAGTTAGAACCCAGGTCCCTCAGTTTTCTGAATACCTGGCCAGGTGTGCTGTGGAGGGAGGGGAAGTTACCCATCCCCTATCCTGTACTTGAAAGAATCCAAAATCCCGAGTTCACTTCAGACTCCCTTTTCTGAATTTAGTTTAGTCACAAGTCAAAGCTGTGTTATAAGCATTGTTTCGACTCTTCCTAAGTTACTTTGACCTTTCTCCTTTTTGCCCAGTTACCTTTAGTTACCCTGCTTTGCACAGTGCAACATAGTGAGCTAGTTCTGGAGGAAGGAATTCTGTTATTGTTTATGTGCCTAAGTGACAGTTACCCAGCTTTTGACATTTCTGCAGTTTGCAATTCTATTCCATGTGCAATGTGGACATGTAAACAGACACAGGACTACTGAGCACGTTCAGTCAGCTGCATACTACTGTATGTGTGAACACAGTGTAACATGGGGCTCAGGCACTGCTGACCAGCTAGCCCCAGCAGCTGGGAGCCCCATCCAGCGAAAGGAAAGGGGAGTGGGGCAGGGGACTGCGGGTTGGGAGTTAGGTGCCCTGGGGGGCCATGGGGGCTGTGAATCAGGAATGATGGGCACCAGCAGACTGGTGGGGGGGCGGTCCTGTGGGTTGGGACTGAGGGGCACCAGCATGGGCAGGACACCGACATATCAGGGCTGCTCATCACCACAAAGCAGCAGAGGGGGACAAGCACAGCTGGACTCCATATCCTGGTGAGTGAAGGGGGCAGGGGGAGCTCTGTTTTTTTCTGATAAAAAACCAAAATCAAACACCAAAATATATAGTTATTTAGAATTTATTTTCTTGTAATGACTGTGTTCAACTGATACACGCATACACACACACACACACACACACACACACACTAGTGGCCGAAAAACAGATTTTGGGTTTTTAAATCAGAGAATTTTAGATTTTTAAACAGAGAAACCCCGGATCCCTGATAATAACTGACCTGTGTCTGGTTAGAACCCTGTGCTGGGAAGTCAGAGAGAGCAAGGTTCAATCCCTCTCTGGGTGAAGGGGACCCAGTAACCCTTAAGACAGCCTGGAAGCTGTTTAAAAATACTAATATCATATTAGAGGCCCAGGAAAATTGAAAAGGGTATCAAATGGTGTAATAAAACCCCTGCACGGTTTAACTGAAGAGTTAAGGAAGCTACCCAAGACAAAAAGGCATCATTCAAAAAAATAAAAGGGATGCCCAAACAAGGAAAAGAAGAAAGCATGAAAACTCTGGGAGGTCAAATATGAATATGAAATAAGGCAGATAAAAAAGAATTTGGAGCATTTTGCAAAAGATACTAAAGTTAATAATAAAAACTTAAAAAAAAATAGATTTGAAGCAGGAAACCAGCAAGAGAATCACTGGGACCATTAAATGACCATGGTGAAAAAGGTGCACTCAGGAGTGATAAGGCCATAGCAGGGAAGCTAAATGAAACTTTTTCCCTTGGTTTTACTGAAGAAGATATTGAAGGAATTCCCAGATCAGATCAGATCTTTCTAGTAGGTAGACTTGAAGAGTTGGATCACACTGAAGTGACAATAGAACAGGGTCAGGAAACATTTTTGGGCAAAGTGCCCAACAACCCTGCAACCTGGACTTTGAAGATGTTGGCATGCCAGGGGCAGACATCAGAAAGCCGTGAAGGATCCAATCCTTGTTGCGGCAGTGCAGGCCATCATGCTCCCTGAGGCAGACCCCAGTGCAGCTGCTTGCAGGCTTGCGGCTACCTGCTGTAAGCAGCCCAGCTCTGGGCAGGCCCCTGCACCCACCATTGAGCCCAAGCTGCTTGCAACAGGGTTTGCCACCTACTGTGACCAGCCTGGCCACTGGACAGGCCCCTGCTGGCTGCCATGGAGCTCAGGCTGCTTGCAGCAGGCAGATGCAAGCAGCTGTACTGGGGTTCAGGGCCTTGGCCCAGCTCTGTGGAAGTGGCTGCACACGCACCTTGAAGTGCATGGTGGAGAAGGGGCCTGCGGCAGCCACCATGGAGGTCCAGCTGCTCACAGCAGGTGGTGAGCAGCCTGCAAACAGCTGCACTGGGGTCCAGAGCCCTGACCCAGCTCTGTGGCAGTGGTGGATAAACGCATGCTTTGAGATGCATGGCAGGGAAGGGGCCTGGTACAGCGCAACCCTGGCCCAGGCCCCTTCCCTGCTGTGCACCCTAAGGTGTGCACACAGGTGCCACCACCATGGACCCCAGCTGGAGCTCTGGATCTCAGTGCAGGCTCTGGGCAGCTGCTGCCTGCCATGGCACTGGGGCTGCTCACAGCAGGGCTTGCAGCCTCCCTGCCACATGCTGCAAGCAGCCCCAGCTCCATGGCTGGTGGTGGCTGCCCCG